TAAATAATCATACTGTTTTGGATTTTTTGGTTACTGAATTGCATGTTTTCCTTGTATATTTTGGATATTAACTCCCTATCATATATATGATTCGCAAATATTTTCTTCCATGACATAGTCTGACTTTTCATTTTGTTGTCTGTTTCTTTTACTGTGAAGAAATATTTCAGTTCATGATAGTCCAATTATTTATTTTTGCTTTTATTACTTTTTCTTTTTTGTGTCATATCCAAAAAGATTTTGCCAAGACCAATGTCAAGAAGATTATTTTCTGTTTTATTCTATGAGTTTTATGGTTTGAGGTCTTATGTTTAAGCCTTTAATTGCTTGAAGCTAATTTTTGTAAGTGGTGTAAGATAGAGGGGTCCAACTTCATTCTGCATGTCATTATCCAGTTTTCCTAGCACAATTTATTAATGAAACTGTCCTTCCCCCTTTAAATATTCTTGACTACCTTATCAAATATTATTCGATAACATATATGGGGATTTACTTCTGGACTCTTGATACTGTTCCATTAATCAATGTTTTTTTTAATTAATATTTTTATACCACTACCATACTGTTTGATTACTATAGCTTTGCAGTCTAGTGTGAAACCAGGTAGTGTCATTCTTATGGTTTTGTTCTTCTTCCTCATGATTGCTTAGCTATTCAGGGTCTTTTGTGGCTCCACAAAGTTTTAGAGTTGCTTTCCCTATTTTAAAAAGCCATTGTAATTTTGAAAGGGACTGCACTGAATCTATAGATAGCTTTAGTTAGTATGCTCATTCTAAAAATACAAATTCTTTTGATCTATGAATATGGACTCTTTCCATTTGTTTGTGTCTTCTTTAGTTTCTTTCATCAAAATCTTAAAGTTTTCATCATAAAGATCTTTCACCACCATGATTAAGTTTATTCCTAAGTATTTTATTGTTTTGGATGCCACTGTTAATGAGATTGTTTCCTTTATTTCTTTTTCAGATTTCATGTTGTTCATGTATAGAAACACAGCAGGTTTTGGTATGTTGATTTTTCACCTGCATCTATACTGGATTCATTTATTACTTAAATATAAATAGGTTTTAGTTTGCTTGTTTCTTGATGGAGTGCATAGGATTTTCTATATCTAATATCATATTATCTCATCTGCAAACTTTGTAATTCATATCTTTGATAAGGAGCATGTCAAACATTTAAAGAACTCACAACAGCAAAAAAACACCAAAAAATCTGATTAACAATTGGGCAGAGGATCTGAACAGACATTTTTTCCAAAGAAGAAATACAGACAGTCTCCAGGTACATTGCAAGTATGCAGCATCACTAATTATCAGAGAAATGAAAATAAAAACCATACACCATACAAGCTATTATTAAAATGACAAGTGATAAATGCTGGTGGTGATGTAGAGGAAAGAGAATCCTTGTGCTCTATTGGTGCAGTCACTATGGAAAACAATATGTAGTTTCCTTAAAAAATTAAAAATAGAGCTACCTTATGATCCACCAATTTGATTTCTGGTTATTAATCTGAAGAAAACTAAAACACTAACTCAAAAAGATATACGTACCTTCTTGTTCATGCAACATTATTTACAATAGCCAAGACATGGAAGTAACCGAGGTGTCCACTGATGGATGAATAAATTATAAAATGTGGCATATATTTTAAATGGGTTATTATTCAGCCATAAAATGAAGGAAATATTGCCATGTAGGATAACATGGATGAACTTGGAGGGCATTATGTTAAATTAAATAAGTCAGATGGACAAATAGGCAAGAAAAAAAAACCCATTTGATTTAAATTACATTAAATAATAATAGTAATAGACATAAAATGCATAGATACAGAGAACATGTTGGTGACTTATAGAAGTGGAATGGGTGAAGGTGCCCAAAAGATCCATACTTCCATTTATAAAATAAATACAAAGGATGCAATGTACATCAGAGTGACTACAGTTAATAATACTGCCTGTATATTTGAAAGTGAAGGGCACAGATCTTAAAAGTTCTCAGCACACACACAAATAAATTTAAAAATGTGGCGTATATTTTAAATGGGTTATTATTCAGCCATAAAATGAAGGAAATATTGCCATGTAGGATAACATGGATGAACTTGGAGGGCATTATGTTAAATTAAATAAGTCAGATGGACAAATAGGCAAGAAAAAAAAACCCATTTGATTTAAATTACATTAAATAATAATAGTAATAGACATAAAATGCATAGATACAGAGAACATGTTGGTGACTTATAGAAGTGGAATGGGTGAAGGTGCCCAAAAGATCCATACTTCCATTTATAAAATAAATACAAAGGATGCAATGTACATCAGAGTGACTACAGTTAATAATACTGCCTGTATATTTGAAAGTGAAGGGCACAGATCTTAAAAGTTCTCAGCACACACACAAATTTGTAATTGTGTTGTTAAGAGATGTTAACCAGAACTGTGACGATCATTTTATAATACATATGAATACTGAATCATTATGGTACACATTTGAAACCAATATGTCAATTATACCTCAAAAATTAAAAAAAAAATTGAATTGCATACTAAATTGGTCAGTTGTATGCTTTATATAGTGACAAAACTGCTTAAAAAAAAAAGAGTTGATGAGACAGGTTAGTTGATCCTGTTCATGATATAAATTATAGGATAGATTAGTTGACCCTTTTCCAACCTATATGAAAGCATTTCCCCTTCTCAGCATTATATATCTTTTAAGGTCAGGAGTAACAAAAGAAGGAAAAAATATGGCTGACAGATAGAAGAATAACAGAGTTCAGTAGGGAAAGAAAAATTCCATACTTTTTTATATTTCTGCCATCCATTTTATAATTTGTAGGGGGAAAAAAGCTAATTTTATACAGAAAAATCCTGAATAAATTGAATTGGAAAAGAAAAATAGTATGCAAATAAACATACAAGCATATGGATGTCATAATTTTGTATATCGGTTTTCAAATACATAAAACTTAAATAATTAATATTTTATTGATGAGAATCACCTAAAATTGCATAGAGGTTCACTATCTCCATTTGATAAGTGTTGAAGGACTGTTTGCTTGTCTGGCTAAATGAATGAATGAATGGAAGATGTGCCACAGAGATCTAAGAGAGGAAACTTCCAAATTTACTAGAATGCACGGTTCTATGTCTAGCTCATCACTGGCCCTTGGCAAGGATTTATTTTTCCTCTTCATCCTTTCTTCCCCCTTCTACTTGTTTCACTACATTTTTCATCAGAGTAGACTTAAAGTTTCTGAGTGGAATGTAAAATAATACAGATAAGAAGGTTACAATTTCCTTGAAATATTTGCTAACATTCCTTCAGAAACCATACAGTAGATTCTATACAATGTATTCTTGAATTAAAGAGATCACCTACTGCAAAGCTATTATTTTTATTCTATTTAAATACAGAGAATTTAAATAGGTACATACTTCCTCATCATTTTTAGAAGCATATTCAAAAAAATGTCAAATTTTTTTCTAATTTTACTAAATCCATAAGATCACAAGTGTCTACATCTTAATTTGAATATGACCCACTAAGAAATACATTATATAAAACAACATAATCTAAAAAAAGTCTGGATTTATACATGCTTATTGACTATTATGGAGCTACTATTACAGGTAAATGACTCTTGATACTTATCTTGAGTGGGGTGGGGAAAGAGTGATGTACTTATGTGAAATGAGACCAAATGTTTCAGAGGCTGGTGATGTAATAATTTTGAGCTGGAAAGGGTGATCTCAGCTGTGGCCAAGTTACCACTATTCTGATAACCCATACTCAGGATACACATTTTAACTGATCATTTTTCTTACCAAGGCTGGGCAAGAGGTATCTCCAGCCCAGATAGCTACTGCCAAGTATTTGAAAAATAAAAGCTGTCTGCCAGGTCTATGATAAAGATTATTCAATTGCTCTATCATCTTGGAACATCTCTCAGCCAAATAATGAGTATTAGATAAAGAAGTAGTTTGGGAACATGACCAGGAACTTTGTATTCATTCTGAAGTGACTGAAGTGAGAGTAACTCAGTCATGTCTGACTCTTTGTGACCCTATAGACTATACAGTCCATGGAATTCTACAGATTAGAATACTGGAGTGGGTAGCCTTTCCCTTCTCCAGGGGATCTTCCCAACCCAGGGATCAAACCCAGGTCTCCCACATTGCAGATGGATTCTTTACCAGCTGAGCCACAGGGAAGCCCAAGAATATTGGAATGGGTAGCCTCTCCTTTCTCCAGCAGATCTTCCTGACCCAGGAATTGGACCAGGGTCTCCTGCATTGCAGGTGGATTTTTTTTTTTTTAATCAACTGGGCTATCAGGGAAGCACATTTATTCTGACTCTCCATGAATAATGCAATTTTAAAAATATAATGTGGCCCCTAGAGTTAAACTGTTCAAGATTTGGTGAACTGCTGAAAGGGCAAATAGCCAGGCAAAAGTGCTCACAGAACACAACTTGCTCTTTGGTAATTACTATAGATTGATTTAATTTAGAATTTATAAAAATCATGTAAAATATTTCACCACAATCTCAACACTGTGTTGGGAACTTAGAATTTGGTGGTGGTGGTTTAGTTGCTGTCGTGTCTGACTCTTGAGACTTCATTGAGTGTAGCCTGCCAGGCTCCTCTATCATTGGGATTCTCTAAGCAAGAATACTTAGAATTTAAATATGAACAAAATATTGTTCTAGCTCTCCAGATATTTACATTATAATTATCATGGAGTAAAAAGATGGAAGTCTCTGTAGGTTTTTTACTAGTCCTTTTTTTCTTATAATAATTTCTTTATTTTCCATTCAATTTTGGCAAAATTTTTGTTGAAAATGTCAGTCTGTCTTAGTCTTGATAAGATAAAAAAAAAAGCAGAGATGTGTTATCACAATTAAATCAAGATCTCAAAGTCCCTAGCACACTTGTGAGATCTGATGATGGCATCCAAATTAAATCAAAGAATCCCAAGGTGGTAAAACTCAAAACAGTGTGAGTACTTGACAATGTGTATTCCTTTTCAGGGGAAGGATAATGTCTGTTTCTGTATTCAGTGCCTGGAAACTCCTCTGCAGACATCATCAAATGCTAATTTCTATTTTCTCTACTTAGAAATAGTGACATTGCTGTCATAACAAAGACGTCTTAAAACTCAACAATGACTCTGAGAGAGATGGTGACTTGATACTGAATTTATTTCCTGAAAGTAAGGAACTATAGACCTGAATATAGAAAGTGTAGTTAAAACACTACTTTAAAAGTGTAAATTCTTAAATGTGAGTTCTTCACAGAAAAATGAGAATCAAAATCATGAGGAAAAACATATTCCGAGATTTTATAAGTCAGACAATATATCAAGAATCTCAGCACAAATAAGAATTATTTTAAGTCAGTTATTCCTAGTGATCATAAGCCAAATAATTCAGAAAGTTTAATTATTTTTTATATAGCAAGGTATAATTTACCACAAGTGTTCATTAATTGAATTTTTCCATAATACATCTGAGATTAACAATTGAGTATTGCTTTTTTAATACTATAAATGATGCTAACTAAATTCTCTAATAACCTAACTGTAGATTCTACAAATGATGCTAAATAAACTCTCTAATACCTGACTGTAGATTCTTTCTACCAGATAATCCAAAACTACCCAATTGCCCTGTCCTTTTTTTCTTCTTGTACCTTTTATCTTCCTTTTCACAGCATGAGAACAACCTGCCCTTCACCATCTTCCAACTGGTCTACCTGATTTCATAAACACACGTTAGAAACTGTGCTAACTGCCAATGCCTCAGGGATGGGTAATGTATGTTTCTTCTCTGTTCCTATAAAGGAGAAAAATATACAAATGAATATTCAGAACTTAACATTGCAAATTATATAAAAGAACTATGTATCAGTTCTTTGAGACAAGAGAAGGTTCCAACTCATTGCAACTGGGTAGACTTTACAACCCTGAACCAAGTTGTCAGAAATAGATAGAAGCACCCTGGGTCAAAGGGTGCGTGGGTACGTGTGTGTGTCTGTGAGCCGAGGTGGGTGTATGGGAGGTGGAGAACTGGGGAAGGGTGAAGTGAGCAAGCATAGCAAATATTCCAGGTAGAGGAAGAGGATATACAAAGATCGTATTTCTAAATGGCTGGAACTCAGGTTTCATCATAGAGACAGCTAAGCACTAAAACTGAAATTATACACAACATTTAAATACCAAAGGAAGAGGAGCAGAGGGCTATTGGGGCATGGATTAGGAGGCAAATACCCCCAAACTGGGCGTCACACAACAGCTTTGCAGAAAGAGTGACACCTACAGAGAGACCTGCTTCAGTGACTGCACTACCGTCTCCCCAGGCATCCATGCCAGAAACCAAGTAACCAAAACACTATTCTTAGGTTATTTCAAAGGTTTTCAAGATCTTGATTCCACTTTGGTTCATCCATTTCCAGATCCTATAGTTTAAGACTGTCTAAAAATGAGAATCCTATTATGTCACTACTCTGACTGATGACCCTTATAGTGACAACATCCAAGTTTATAAACAAGAACTTTGGGAATGTGGCTCTTTTTACATTTCCATACTCATCCTGCCAGACTGAAGTACTTTTAGTTCTTCAAAGATGTCATGCTTTGTCTCCAAATCTTGCCTCTACGTGGAACCAGATTTTTAGCAAAGGATATGACTTCTCTCTTGTTTAGGTCCTGCGTGCATGCTAACTCACTCATGTCCAACTCTTTGTGACTCTGTGGGCTGCAGCCCACCAGACTCCCCTGTCCGTGGGATTTTCCAGGCAAGAATACTGAAGTGGGTTGCCACACCCTTCTCCAGGGGGGTCTTCCTGACTCAGGGATTGAACCCAAATCTCTTATGTCTCCTGCATCAGCAGGCAAGTTCTTTACCACTAGCATCACTTGGGTTTAGCTCCTACTTATTCTTTAATTTCCTACTTAGATGCATTTCTTCTGCAAAGGAGGTCCTGACTCAAATCCAAATTATTCCTCCAATTCAAATCAGTACCTCTCCTCTCCACCATGCCATGCCCTCCATTCTACTCCCAACTTCTTGCTAATGAACACTCAGCCTTTGAGAAAGAGGCACCACCCCTCTCCTCTTCACTGTTATGTTGCTAACTGCCAACACAACACATGACTCACAGGAGGGATTTGATAAATATTTGTTAAACAATGGACAAGATTTTAAAATAGCACCAAAAATGTATTATCAAATATAAGCCTCCAAGAGCTAGATTAAAAACTTCCAACACTTATAAAAGTTAAGTCCTCACTTACTTTCTCACAAAGTCTCATCATGACTTGGGATCACTGTAGATTAATGAAAGTTCATTAAAGTTAACATCTAAAATAGTCATGCTTTGTACTTAAGGTAAAAACCTGGTCCTTCCTTCCTAACACAGACATACTTTCATTGTGTTTATCATACTTGTATGAAATACTTTGGAAGTAATATTACCCTCAGGAACACTCATTCATGCTCATGCCCTATATCCTTATATAATAATATTTTTGCAAGAGATACAGACAAAAAAAATATTTTACATTCTTCTATTAGCACTTAACAATTTAGTCCTGAATTCACCCTAGTGAGGAACTTCTAAAGGACAAGTGTTAAAGTATATTATTCTCTTTTAAGTTTCATTGATGTTTTCCAGTGCTCTGGAAATCTTTCATGTGGGTATGATGCCCAGTGCACACCTTTATTATTGCATGTATTTTATTCTAGCTAGTTATCTATTGATGTAACTGTCTCATTCAAGTCTAGGCTGTTTAGAAGAGAGACTACATTTTATTCATCTCTGCATCCAGCACGATTTCTGACTCATAATAGATTCTCAAGATACGTTAGTTTGATGGATAAAATAACTTTATTTACTTTATCCATTTTGCAAATCTAGCACTTTGACCAACTAAAATATCTTAGTGAATTAGACCTGGAGAAGGAAATGGCAACCCATACCAGTATTCTTGACTGGAAAATTCCATGGACCATGGAACCTGGTAGGCTATTATCTATGGAGATGCAAGCAGTCAGACATGACTGAGCACACACACACAGTGAATTAGAAGAACATACCATTTATTTGACTTTCTAAAATGCAAATGGAATTACATTTTCCTCGCTGAAAAATTCTTTCTTGTTCAATTATTTGCTTAATCTACTGCCTGTTTTCATTCACTTACCATCATAACACAAATAATGATGATTCTTTTTACTTTGTCTTCAGCATACACTAAACATGTTCCAGTTTTTTTTCACTTGATGGTCATCATAATTCCCATATCCCTGGGATTTAACCCATAGAAAACAGTAAAAAATACATAACTAAATGAAGACTTATAAGCAATAAGGATTATTCTCTCATTTTATGCATAAGTAAATTGAATTAAAGTGCAATTAAGTGATGTGCCCAAGCCTTCACAGTGTAGTCAATAGCAAAAGAAAAAAAAATCCAAATCACTTTTCTTCCCTTTTCTGGATGGAAATTTTTTTTTTTTTCTTCAAACTCAGGCAAAATAGGATGTTCCCAAGAACATCTTTCCTGACTGCCCCAAACTCCCACTCCTACTACTCCTCTCAATAAAATGAATAATCCACTTATAAATGTGACTTACTTTTCAATCTTAAAAGACTGCACTTAGCAAACAATGTTGTTTAGTCGCTAAGTCATGTCCAACTCTTTTGTGACCCCCTGGATTGTAGCCCATCAAGCTCTTCTGTCCATGGGATTTCCCAAGCAAGAATACTGGAGTGCATTGCCATTTTCTTCTCCAGGGGATCTTCCTGACCTTGGGGTTGAACCTGCCTCTCCTGTATTGCAGGAGGAGTGTTTACCACTGAGCCATGAGTTTGTCTCCCTTCTTTTCTTTTCTTTTTCCCCTTTATTTTTACTAGTTGGAAGCTAATTACTTTACAGTCTCGCTTCTTTTCTTGATGGCCCTGGAGTGAAGACCTATGTCATTTTCATTTTAACAACCTTAATGCTAAGTACATAATTGGTGCTAAAAAGAAAATTTAGCAAAACTGAATTTGATAAATTCAACTGAAAGGTCAATGCTAGGGCAGTATGTTAAAATATTAAAGTTATACTTCATTTTTATAATCAAACTATTACTTTAAACAAATATAACTTTAAAAAATAATACAAATCTGATGAAGTCTTTTTAAAAGGAAACCATATATTGAGTTTCCTCATCACTCAGTCAGTAAAAATCTGCCTGCAATGCAGGAGACCCGGGTTCATTTCTTGGGTCAGGAAGATCCTCTGGAGAAAGAAATGGCAACCCACTCCAGTATTCTCACCTGGAGAATGCCATGGACAGAGGAGACTGGCAGGATACAGTCCATGGGATCGCAAGAGTCAGACATGACTTAGAGACTAAACACTACCATATGTTGACTCACACCTCAATTCTTTAAGATCTGCCTTTTTGCTCACCACTCAGCCAAAACTGCCCTCTGGAAGGCCTCCAGGGACCCCCACACCAATAGCTCCCTCCCTTTTCCAACTCCCTAAATGATCTGTCTTGAAAGTGATTCATCACCCCCCTCTTCTGTTCTCGGGTCTGGCCATGCCAGGATTCTTTGTTTTCTGTTTCTCTGTCAGCTTCATCTCTACCTCTCCTCCCTGTTCTCTCTTCCTTCATCCAAGAGAGAAAGGTTCAGGTCCGTTGGCTGCCAACTTCCTGTCTGATCTCCTGCTGACACGGTGTGGATGATCACTACCTTCTTTCCTCTCTAGTCTTCCTCCTCAAAGTTGGCCTCACATTTCCACCTGCCAGTCTCTCATGTCCAAGTGACCATCTAGAACCTGAAACTCCTTCAGCTTGTAACACACTGCCATGGTCCATGCCCCGGCAAAGGCCCTTACCGCTCTCCCCTGGAAAGTTTCCCTCTTAAACCTCTCTGCAGCATCCTTGAACCATTGCCTGTACCACTGACACATTTCATCTTCCTGCCCAAAGCTCATCATTCACTCCCTGCTCGTATCCTTGAGTGGTTCCCCAAGCTCAGGTATACCAACCAAGAAGCACATCAGGGCTGGGCCTGGGAAACGACTGCCCTGATTCACTTTGACACACTCCTGAGTCCATCCAAACTCAAGATTATTTGCTCCCATATCACTTTGGTGTAATCTTGCTTTTGTGACTTTATTCCCTTCCTTCCCTTCACCTCCTGAACCTTCTTTCATCATAACTACCTTTAGTCTCTGGGTTCATACAAATGCTTTCTGCTATGAAACCTTCTTCAATTCCCTACTTTGTATTTTCACAGAACAGTTTTGCACACAAGGGCTGACATTCATCTCTCTTCACTTTTTATTTTTGTATATGTTCCTTCAGAAGCAATTCTGTAGCCCCTACAGTCCCTGGAAGGGTACTCTGCCCATATAGGAATTGAGGAGTACTAGATGACTCAGACAATTCTGATCCAGAGACAACTGCCCCAAATAATAACAATTCTGTTGAATTATTTCAGCATTTTAGTGGCATCTCTGATGAGAATGCTAGTGCCAGGAATAGTATTTTAATTGAAATGCAAAAAAGTAAAATGCAGATGTAAACTCACAGGTAAATTTTGGTTTTTAAAAGTCTGTCTAAAGTGGCAGAGAGATAAATAGCGGGAACATGGAGAATTTTTAAGGACAGTGAAAACACTCTGTATGATAGCATAATGATGGATGCTTATCATTATACCTTTGCCCAAATCCAAAGAATACACAACACTGGGACTGAACCCTGAGGTATACTGTGGACATGGATGATTATGGTGTATCAATATAGGCTTATCAGTTGTAACAAATGAACTACTCT